TTGTTGTTGCAGACAAACACACTGTCAAATCAAGAAATAGGTTGGGGTTAGGCAGTTCATCAAAGCTAGATGACCTACTATGTGGGGAATAAATCTGTGGGTTGCTGCAGACAATCCTAATGGTTATATTGCGACTTTGAAATTTATACAGGAAGAAGTCCAGATATTCATCGCAACGGATTTGGGTATGACGTGGTGATCTGATATCAGTTTGGTTACAGTCTTAGGTCTTTTGTAGTACAATATAAAGGAAATATTTTCACCACATAATCCAATTATGTGCTTTGGCAAACATTACTGCTTTAGCAAACATTACTGCCTTGGAAAACATTACTTTTTTATAACTACTAATTATGATGATGCCAGCCCAACAACACTTGGTCGTGCTATTTGCAAATATTTTCATGTTGTAAATTGTGAAAACAATCAATTTCTAAACAAATGAGTAGTGATTATTTCAAATTTGAATAGCATGACCAAATTTTGAGGCTGGTTATGCCACTAATAACTAAAGTCAATGGTGTAATGATTATCTAAGAATGTATGTAGTAATTGTAGAAATAAAGACATTTTGCTAATCATGATTTGAGTGTTCTTTTGTGGGTATCACAGACTTATTTTGGTACCATACTATCTTTGGAGAGTAAGAAATATTGGAAATTTGTATTGATAACATGTTGCAGCAATAAAAAAGGACCTTTGATAAAGGTATTTGTTTCATGTGGGCACAAAATGTAAATTTTACTCTACTACCTAGTTTATATAAAAATTCAATAAAAATATTTCTATTTATGCTACATGCATGAAACTTCGGGTACTTGTAGATCATAACCGTGTCTTTCAGTCATATTCATAAAATTTTTTGACATATTTGAAATTTGAACCGTTAAATACATTTATGCATAATTGCAACATTTTTTTATATCATAATTTATGCAAATTTATGCGAGTAAATCGTTAACCAAGCTCCGGATGAAATTGAAATTGGTATCGTTGGAAAGCAGAAGTCCTCCTCTTTCGAACGATGCAATGTCTGTTTCCATGCGATGTATAGTTTGAGAGATATAAGCGTTTGAAACAACACCACTCGAAATTGCTACTTTTCGACCGGATGGGAATGAGTTAATTCATCATCCCAATCTAAGGCTTCCAACCAGGCTTGTTGCAGGTAGAGCTTTGCTCTGATAATAAAAGGCGAGAGAAAACCAAGTGGGTCAAATAGTGAAGCCGTTTTCTTCAGTACAATTCGTTTTGTGTAGTGGAAATCATCAGTTGGGGAGGAGTAGTCAAACAGAAACTCGTCGTCTCCTGCGTCCCATCGAATGCCTAAAGTTTTCGTTGTTGGCAGTTCATTCTTCTCTAAACTAACATTGGACGAACAATCTTTGGCGGGAATATCTTCCAAGACTTCCTTACGATTGGACACCCATTTACATACGTGGAAACCAGCTTTGTCTCCCATTTCGGACAACTGTCGCCGTATTTCTTTCGCAGTTTCGACAGAATCTACAGAAGGCATTACGTCATCCATATAACAGTGTTTTTCAACCGCGTTTGCTGCCAAGGGATACTCTTCTTTGTGATTTTGAGCGTGTTTCTGTCAGGTATATTGTGCACAAAAAGGACAGTAACATCCTCCGAAAACGAATCTCAGAAATTCATATACTTCTGGCTCTTTGGATAGATCTAAGTCCCTCCATAGAAATCGATGTAATGGTCGATCTTCTTCGCGCAAAACTAGTTGATGGTACATCTGACTTATATCACCAGCAAGTGCCACAGTTTCTTTTCTAAATTTGACTAAGATATCGAAAACATTACTTTGTAACTTAGGACCAGGTAACGCTTTGGTGTTGAGACTCTTGCCTTCATAAGGTGCTGAACCATCGAAAACTATTCTTACTTTGGTACTTGCTCTCTCAGGCCGTTACTACGGGAAAATGGGGAAGAAGCCATTCCTGCTGAGGCTTTTCTTCATCTTTCGGTACTCGACGAATGTACTGTTTTTCAAGATATCCATTCAATACTTGTTGGTAGGCCAGGGCTACTTCTTTATTTTTCAACAGCTTTTTCTCCGTGGACAACAATCTCTGCTTGGCCATTGGTAGATTGGTAGGAAGGTTAGGACGGTCTTCCTTCCAAGGCACCGCAACCTCGTAGTGCTTACCATCAAATTTCATTGACTGGCTTACCTTTCCCCATGCTAACTTCTCTTCGGGCGTCATTAGTGATTCTCTGGTGGGGGTTATTCCGACGCTTTCAAGGTCCCAAAAACGTTTGAGGGTGGAATTCAGGTCTGAGCATTCATTTGGAACATCATTTGTCGTTGCTTCCTCTATGTGGATTCGGAAAGTATGACTAAATCCAATGTGATGATGCCCAACATTACTTCGTTGCTCTATTTTACCTACCGCCGTCCATCCTAAAGGACAAAGTCTAGCAATTGGTTCGTCTTTATTGCCGACAATCTCTTTCATTGAATACATTAATTCATAGTGGTCTGCTCCCAAAAGGACATCGATCTGATTTCCTTTCGCTAACTTTGGGAATGGGATCTTTTTTAGGTGATTCCAATTTTGTTTTATGATTAACCAGTTAACAGCTTTCATTCCCCCACAGATCTTTCCCGAGGTTTTTGCCACAATTTCTGTATCTACTCTTCCGTCCATGCTTTCCAGCCCAATCGTAAACGTGTTCGACATAAAACTAATTGTCTGGTCATTTGCTACCTTGACTTCGATTTTTTCTTTCACTCCGGTTAAACCTAGTTCTTCTATAACATCCTCGTTGATGTAAGTAGTGTCACTTCCTTCATCCAACAGACAGTTTACATGGACTTTACGTGTAACTAGTAAGTAAGTAAGTAAGTAAAAACTTTATTTGTCTACGCTAACCCCTACAGCAAGAGCTGATTTCCAAGAGGGGCGTAGGTTTAAAAATACAAACGTTACACTCAATTAGGATAAATATATATACAAGACTAACACATTACAATACAATTATACAATTATAATTACTCTACTATGGTCAAATAAATAAAATTTCATAAACTCATTATCTAACTGGCCAGGTGCCGCACACTTAAGTTAAATTGACTAAGAGAACATTTATTTCTTAGTCTATCTGGGAGGCCATTCCACAATTTTGCTCCTCTATAACTAAGACCTTTTTTAAGATATTCGGTCTTAGGTTTGGGCAGGTAGAGATTTGTGGCATAACCTCGTAAGTTATAATGTTGAGACGAAGGCGTCTTTTGAAACACATCAATTAGTTGTTTGGGCGCTAGATCGTGGGTTATTTTGTACATGAGACTTGCTACAAATTGAGTTCTGCGTTCTTTCAATGTTTTCCAGTTTAGTTCATTTAAAGCAAGTTCAGATTGGCCGTGTTCGTTTTTACGACCCGTAATTACTCTAGCAGCCCTATTTTATAATTTTTGGAGGCGATCAGAGAGTGTGATACCAATAGTATCCCAAACTTCGCAGCAGTAGTCGAAGTGGGGCAATATAAGTGCGTTATAAGCACATATTAATGTATTATGGTCCACACAGGGTTTGAGTCTTCTGATCGCTCCAATTCCGAATGAAACCTTCTTAGCAATTTTGTCAATATGCTTATTCCATGACAAAAATTCATCAATACATACTCCAAGTGCTTTTGTTTCTCTCATTCTTTTAATTTGTACATCGCCAACGAACACATTTGGAACAAGGGCTAGATTCTTGACGTTATGCCGAGATCCAATTAGTAGGTATTCAGTTTTAACAAGATTTAGGGATAGTTTGTTTGCAGATAGCCACCGCTTTACGTTAGCAAGATCATAATTAATGGCCATTTCTACATCAGCAACTGATTTACCAGATGCAGTTAATGTCGTATCATCGGCAAACATTCTTGTTGACGAATACTCCAAACTGTTTGGCAAATCATTAATATAAACCAAAAATAGGAGCGGCCCAAGAATCTCAGCCTTGAGGGACTCCACATGTAATTAATTTTTTACGAGAAAGTGTGCCATTAACAGTGCACATTTGAGTTCTGTTTTCTAGATACGATTTTAGGAGGTTTAAAGCTGGTGTTTCTAAACCATAAAAATCAAGTTTTTTCAATAATACAACGTGGTTAATAGTGTCGAATGCCTTTTGCAAGTCGAGAAAGACTGCAATATTAAAAAAGCCACGATCCATATTAACAAACCATTCATTTGTGCTATCTAAAAGGGCGGATGCTGTTGAGTGACTACGTCTAAAACCGAATTGATGTTGGGATAGTAAGTTATTTGTAACAAGATAATCGTGTAACTGTTCGTATAATACTTTTTCGAAAACTTTACTTACAACAGGAAGAATGGATATAGGGCGATAATTATTTAACAGGTTTCGAGGGCCTTTTTTATTTAAAGGTGTAACTCTCGCTGCTTTCCATTCAGATGGAACGGATTCACTGGTGATTGCCCTATTAAAAATTTTTGCCAAGGAATTTGCAATTACTGGGGAAGCAATACGAATAATTTTAGCTGGAATTTTGTCAATACCGGTAGATTTACCGGGATTTAGAGACAAAAGAAGTCTATGAACTTTCGATTCAGATACAGCTTGGAACTTAAAATTGCTAGTTACTCTAGTTATGTAATCCGTGAAATTTCTGTCACCTTTATCGATAGTTTTTGCAATATCTGGGCCAATATTAGTAAAATAATCATTGAAGCTTTCCGCTAACTCATTTGGATGAGTTATCTCTCCATTCTGAGTTTTGACAGAGTTTATATCTGGACATTTTTGCTTTCGATTTAGGATTTTATTAACAGTTTTCCAAGCTTGTTTTGGATCATGTTTTTTAAAATAACTGGGATCGTGCGCAGTGCTATCTTCCTGCTATCATGATCTGTGCTGGTTTTCATTGTAGTAGCTTGTGTATTGCCATCCCCCTCCGTGCCAAGAGCCTGTTCCTGAAGATTTTTCTTTTCTGGATCCATTTGTTTCATGGGAGGTTTTTCCGCAACATTGCTATCTTGATTAGGATCTTTGGTATTAACTCTTCTTTGCCCATGGAGTAAACGATGGTGGGTTTCCTTGCAACCATTAATATTACACTGTCGACTTCTTGTACACGAACTCCCCAAATGATCTTTCCCGAGGCATCTGTAACATAGCCCAACTCTTCTCGCAATTTTCCATTTCTCATCAATAGCTTGACTTCGGAAAGAGTCACATTTCCAAATTGGATGACTTCCTGCACAAGCAGAACATGGATCGTACTCTTTCTTACCGCTTTGTTTACTGAAGAATGACCTATATCTTCTCTCCTTTCTTCTTTCACCATCCGAATTGATTCCATTTTTAATTTCAGATGCTTGCATTTGATATTCCGCTTCTTCAGCTACCCAATCTTTCAATTTTTCCAAGGAATCTTTGTAGTGGTTTTCTTTTACCCAACGGTAATACTGTGCAAGTAAACGCTCTGGAATTTTCCCCAATATTATTGTACGCAATGTTCCACTCTCCAAATCTGACTCGCGACCATTTTCTTTCAGAGTAATTACAGCTCGTTCCAAAATATCTGCAAATTTTTCCAATTCTTTTGGATTGTTCTCTTCGAGGGGTCTTAATTTCTTTAACTCATCCAAATGCGATTGTACTTGTCTCCGACTGCCACCGTATTTGCGAACCAGGCGTGCTTTTGCTGCTTCTACGCCTCTGTTGAATATCCCAATCCTTTTATAGTCTCTGCTGCTTCACCAGTAAGACAAGCTTCCAAACGTAGCATTTTGAATTGTGATGAAAGGGATGTTAAATCAACACAGCTTATAAATGCTGCATGCCATTTTTGAAAATCCATTTTGTTACCTGAAAATACTGGAATCCGAATTCTCTCCAATTGTGCTTGAGATGTAGTCGCCCCCGCCCCTCTAGTAGGTGTGTTACTGTTTGCTGGAAGTGATATCTGAGCTGTTCTCATTGGGGTTTCATTGACCTCGATTCTTTCTACTGTGTTTGACTGTTCGCTATTTTGTTGATTCTCATTGTCTTCATTATTCCCCTTTTCTAATACACCTCTCTTGACGTGTTTTCTTTGCTTGCTCTTCGGCTGTTCGTAGTTGCCTTTCTTGTTCTTCTAACAATTCTCTTTTCTTTTGAACTTCTGCTTCGTTTCGCATACGTGCCCAAAGTTCCGCATTTTTCTCCTTTCATCTTCATCTTGCCTCTGTTTCGAAGTCTCGCCCACGTTCGACTCCTTGCTGCTTGTTATCGTCACTGCGCTTGAACTCCACTGTTTCTTTGCCAACGATGTTAAAAAAACATACGCGCTGAACTTGTTTCATATTCCACTTGATCGACCAGTGCATCCGCTTCGTCATTTACTTTTTTAGCATTTTCATATTCTTTGCTTCGTTGAAAAATATCCTCGAGTTGATTCATAATATGCAATGTTTCGTCTTTCTGTTCGTCAATTCTTAATAACAATCTTTAACATCTTTTTGTTCAGTATTCGAGTCCGATAGCAGACCCAAAATGCTAATCAAAACATGCAAATTCCCCAGGGTGGGGATGGAATGGTGATCAAATGACTTACATATGCCGACCTTCCCCCCCTCTCTGGCTCTTAACATTGATAGGTGCATTAGTAAGATGTATCTACTAATTAAGTTGTATGCCTGTACCTACTAAGATTAAGATACAGCTTCCCAAAGAGTAAGAAGACAGAATTGCATTCATCGTTATGTATTATGTTATTTAGTAATAATTTAATACATAATGGTGCATGATAATGCATTATTTTAGGCATGTTATAATTAACAAACTGTTAACTTGAAGGATCACCAGAGTGTTTGGTCAGCATTCAAAAGAACTGGAAGCAACATTACCACATAAGCAACACAACGTAACCTACCCCGGGTAAGAAATGATAAAGACCCCCATGTGTGTTTAGAATGTGGCAAAGAACTTTCACGTGGCAGAGATTCGTACAAAAAGCGACACTGGAAACAGTCACACAAAGAAGATAAAACAAACAGATACAAAAAAATAATTGTCCCCAAAAGTCATGAAATGGCTAGAGCATTATTAAAAGAAAGTGCCTCATCTAAAGATCTTCCTTCTACATCCTCCTTTCGTCAAGATGATATTGAATGCCTTGATGTTGATGATGATCATAACGATCCCCTTTACTAGAAGAGAATATTGCCAATGCAAACACCCAATCTCCCATGGATATGGAACAAGATTGTGATGTTTTAATGGGGGGGGGAGCACACCAGATGAGACATCAGTTTTGGTTACTGAGCCACCAGTCTCAACTGAAGTCTGAAGAAATCATCAGTGCAGTCAACCTTGTCAGCATTTATTGTCCCCAAAGAGAAACCACAAGCTTCAATATAGAAATCAGTTCCCAGAAATCATTCATACTACCTATTCATATGTGATTGAAAAAACAGCTACATGTCTTCAAGAGCTCCTTGTTTCTACTGGACTTCCACCACATTTTAGCATGGCGATTGATAAGTCAACTCCTCACAGGGACACTAACCAAGCAATTATTCTGATTATCCCATGCAATAGAAAACGTGTAGCTGTAGCTGTACCTGTCGATGCTCCGATTGTTTATCATGTGTCTCCAGATTCTGGAAATGTGCAAGGAGGGAATCATGATGAATTGGCTCAACAAGTTGTGACGGTGTTGTCTGGAAAATTGAAATTAAATTGATCAGTGTTGTGTTTATATTATAACCTCGAATCGAACACACGCACGCACTTATGTGCCATAATAATGTAATGTGATATTAAGAAATAACTATTATATACAAGCATAAGGTAATTAGTTTGAGATGCAATACGATACTGTATCAAATAACACTACATCTCTCCCCTTCTTTATAATTTTTTGTTGTTTTAAATCTAAAATATTAGTTAACGATTACCAGTTCGTAGTTGTCAATAAACAAAAATGGTGCCACGTTTCAAAATGTATATATTGTTGCGTTCGCATAACCATAGCGTTCCGGCTGTCTTGGTTGTCGAGAGGATCTCCTCAGTGGTGGCGAAGGCGGTTGTGAAGGTTGGGTGGTTGTTTTAGGTGGGTTGTCTTCGTCGTCGGAGGTTTCGAGATGAACGGGGAGATGGGTATTTTCTTAAAGAAGGAGGAATTGCGCGTTACTGTTCTGAGCTTGTTTCTTGCGGTGATCATCGAGTTCTTAACTGCTACAACGCGGAAGGGCTCAGGATCAAATGGTGTGGACAGTTTATTCAATTTCGGTTGTCGTATGAGGACAGTGTCACCGAGGGTGATGTTGTTTGGCTTGGCACAATTTCGTTTGTCGCTGTATGATTTCATGGTTGATTTGTTCTTTTCGTCTCGACTACGTATTTCCTCATCTTTCTCAGAGTTGCTTGGTGTTGATGGCGAATCTGGAAGGTGAGTTTTTAGTTTTCGGTTATTTAGTGCTTCGCTAGGGGATACGGAGATAGTGCTATTGGTGTGGCACGATACTGGCGAAGGAAGGTATACATGGCTAGTTTCCAGTTCCGACCTTGTCATTTTTGGCAATCGATTGAAAATAAATGTGATCTTCCTGATTGAAAATAAATGTGATAACATACAAACGTGATTTGTTTTGATTTACCACTCACTTCTGTCATCCTGAAATAATCAATTTAAGCAAAGCTATAAATTGCGGTTAATGGAGTAATATGTTCTGAATGCTCTATCTGCCCGAGGGTGTTTTCAGTCTGCTAACGCATCTGCGTCACAACAATTAATCCGTACCAGGTACGTACAAGGTCAAAGTACCTTGGCAGAACAAGGGAACCGTTTTCTAGCCCTGTTAATATTACAAAATATCTGATAAATATCGAACTTTGGCTGCTAAGCATGTGAACAACTGATGCAAACTTGGGATTAACCAATCAGAAATTATCCTGAAGGTTTTTTCCTTTACGTGCATACGTATAATGGCCCCTTCCTTGCGCAAGGACTTTTGATCGCAATGTCGACGTGCACTGCTCATTCGCAAGACTTTAGCCAGTGCGTTAACGTCTCTGGCAAAATTTTTGGCTAATAATTTAAGGGACCAAACCTTGGCAAAGAAGTGGAAATTTAAAAAACAACAGACCAATCTTGGAACAAATGGCAAAAGTAATGCGCAAGATCACAAGTCCAAGGACGACGCAGTTTCCCTGAGACGCACAAGATCCCATGCATGCAGTGTTCCAGAACCACAATGTTGCCGCTTGCAATCCACGTTCTGTGACCTCAAACGGAGTGAGTTCGTTCCATATTGTTTATATACTTCTGTAATATAACGTTCTTGAATTTACTGCTATATATTACACTATTAATATATAACTTTATCTCGCTCTTCTGCTGTCCAACATGAGTCACAATTTGTATTGTATTAGTACGCTATGCATTCGCGCCTACTCAAGGTTACGTGCTATCCTATTATCTCCAGTTGCATGCTATTGCTACTTTGTTTAATTTAATACCATACAAACAAGACACGTAATTAACTGCATATTTAGATTAATATTGTTTGCGAACTTGTGTCGCATCCGCTGTTCGCTCAGGCGGGAACTAGTTTTGGAATATCTTAGGCTAGATATGTGATAACAGCTGTAATACACTAGCCTTATCGTACTGCTAATTTATACACACAAGTCACGATTCATAATCCCTTAACACAGTTCTATAGCTATTATTGATACTTTGTATCATGCCAGCCGTACGAACAACATGTATTCAACTACAAAAAATTACACCCAGTACAAAGACGTGGTTTTTCTTGTTATATGAGGATGCATGGTTTGTCATAATATAAGGACGGTTTTATTATCCTAGTTGCAAGGACGGTTTATCCTAGTTATAAGGACGGTTTATCCTAGTTAAAATGACTGAGATGTTCATATATAAACTGACCTCACAAGATCCCAACTAGAAAGGTTATGCTGTAGCAAGTTAAATGTTTCTTTGTGCAGATGTATATTTTGTTACACTATAAACGATACATATACCATGGCTTACACACGGCTTTATTTTATCTTTCCTTAAATTCAAGCCACACATGGCTGTGTATTTACTAAGAACTATGGTGCTATTGTGACTTGTGAGTCGAATAACTCGAAAAACTGCATCTGCATCACATCACGAGCTATGTATAGCAAGATCCTGCGTGCTGCAGGATTAACTCGTGCTAGGCAGTGGCACTGGTATACAGGAAACAAGTTTGCAGAAAAAGAATGAAATTTGTGTCAGAAAGTCCAGTATAGGCTATAGCGCATTTTAATTCATTAGAAACTTGACGACAATTTTAAAAGATCAAGTAAGCTATATATAATTTCGAGAGTCAACAGTTTAAATTTGATCAGTTCAATCAGGGCCGTAGGAAGCTCTTTTCGATTAGGGGAGGGGGAGGAGGAGGCTAAAAGTGAGGGCCAAAGGCCCGACGAAATTTTTAAATTTAGAGTCTCTGAAATGCCATTTTCTGGTCTTTGGGAAAGATTTGACAGAATTGTGATAATCAGAAAACAGTTTTTTAGTATGTCGAAATTTACAGTTTAGTAGTACTAAATGGGTGATGGTTTAATATTTAATTAACTATATCTTGAATAAGTTGCAGCAAAGTATGGGTAATATCTTCATTCTTTGCAGTTTGTCACGGATTAAATGATAAAGGTCTGCATGATTTTGAAAAAAGAATGATTATAGCAATTTATTGGGGGGGGCTGAATCCCACCCACCCCCGCCAGCCCCCTGTTGCTACGGCCCTGTAATCAATATCTTCCACATGACATTATGTTAAACAAAGATTTGAGTAATTCTGGATTTTACCAAAACCATTTGTATTTACAAAATAACAAGATGCTTTACGATCATTAACTCGCTGTGGCTTTGCATTAAATACGCACTATAAGAGGAAAAGTCGAATACGAGCGTGAAAGGCAGGGCCGAAACTTCGGTATTATGGCTGGGGGGGGGGTGAGCTTGTTTTGCCCGACCAATAGGGAGTGCCTGACGTGACATCTCAGTCGCTAAAAAAATTTCCAAATAATTTTTTCTGATAATTCCTCCCCCCCCCCAAAAAAAATGGTAATTTGCCCAAAAACAACTACTATTTTTCGATAAATTATGTAAAATTTTTTGCTCAATTTTTTTTTCCCGACATGCGTGTCGTTGAAACTGTTAAACTTGCCCGACGAAACTACAATATTACAATATTGGGTGTGTGACACCCCCCATCCCCCCCCCACTAGTTTCGGCCCTGGCAAAAGGCTTAACACAGTACTAACATGCGGTAGGCCCTACAAGTAAAGTTATATTTAGTATGCTATATACTTCAAGACTGTCAGCCGACAGTTGGTCCGTACGCTAGGATTAAACTGCGCTTTAAAACGTTCAAAATAAAATATTTTTAGGATTTTGGGCTCAAAACACTATCAAAATGAAGAGAGAAGTAAGACCAATCCACTAGTATACGGCCGAAAAAGAGAAAACTAATGATACCAATGTTATCAAGGATCAATTTACCTTGGCTTTCAAAGACAAAGGCCATACTGTAAACCTCCGACTATAAGCTCTCCGCGAATATAAGCCCCCCCTCCCGAATATAAGCCCACCACATATACTAACGCTCACCTCATTCCAAATAATTATAACCCCCCCCCCCCTCCGAATATAAGCCCACCCGAATATAAGCCCCCAAAATATAAGTCCCCTGAATATAAGCCCAGTAGCCCCATACCTTACTCAACATTGGTCAAATTGCCTTTTAATATAGCAGAGAACTGTTTTTGAACAGATGACAATAATATTATTTAAAAACATTGTCATTGTCGATCTTTGTAGCCCACTATGTGAATCAAAACGAGTTATTAATACATGTTTATTTTCCTGTTTATGACGGACTTGTTTAGACCTGTTTATGTCTGATTTGTTTATTACTAACACGAAAAATTGTCCAGGCTCGTGTCCAGGTATAAGCCCCCCGTATATAAGCGCCCACCCTTGTATAAGTCCAGGGCTTATAGTCGGAGGTTTACGGTAAAATGATAAATCGCTAGAATACTGTTGTTTAATAATACATTTGACATCCGTAATTAGTACAATTTCTAGTAGTGGTATTTTTATCCATATAATTTGCGCCATCAGGAATTTATACAAATACACTATGTCTATCAGTCTATGAAACGTACTGCAAGTGATTTGTCAACAAATTATACGTACTGCGAGCGATTTGTCAATACAATTTCGCTTGATTTTCAAAAGGCCATAAACGCTAGAATACTGGTGTTTAGTAATACACTTGACGTCCGTAAGTACAATTTCTTACGCTGAATCGAACGGTGTCGCTTTCTTCTGCCAAAACCCAACCTCGAACCCAACTTGCAAAAACTTTCAACTTGCGAATAGGTTGTTGATTCTTACAAATGTCGAAATTCCTTGTAAAATTGTTCAATTTTCTCGAATTTTCCTCAAAATGCAGGGTAATTTATGGATAATTTGGGTAAAAATTTAACTGAAGCCATTATGTTAGACTTACATGAATTACCCAGCGATTTGTGCCCATCCAAGAACACGAACAAAAATGCACCGAATTTAATACTCGTCCTGCGGCCAAAGGCCTAGCACGAGTAATAAGATTAATCAGTTATTTTTCTCGCCGGGGAAAATCCCGCACTTATGGAGCGTCATATAACCAATTTGCGCAATAGTTTTACCATGCATATACACACGGCGTATATATAAACACGTCATTTTAGTTGACCTGCATCTGGGGACAAAGGCGGACTTATGGCCTCATTAATATCATTATCGAGACGTAAGCATAAGCAAAATTGCTGAATCTTACTGGCTGCCGCTTTTAAATTTGCATGCTTAGGCAAAATACTTGGTGTTGTTAATATTGAGTGTGACTGAACGGGACTAAATCCTGAATAAATTGAATGTCGATACACGCATGTTAAATGCGGGTCTTTCAAACTTGAAACTTATAGCTCGATCGATCGTATAGCGAATAGTTATACTAATATACTCGCATACGCAACTATTTCTCGTGGCAAGATTCGAAGAGAAGATGGGTTCCCCACGCTCTTCTCAGATATAAAAAGAAGTCTGACTGAATGACTTCATGCATGTATACAGTTTATTAGTTGATGTTTTGCAGACCTCGGTCAGTCATCAGGTCACACCTCGCACGCCAGAAAGGAATTCATACATCTCGTAAATCCGCAATATTCTTTATATGAATAGGGCGATGCTAAGGGCAATGTACATTGAAGTGGAAATATTTCAACTATGAAAATCGTTTGCCTTTAATATTAATTGCTTTACTGGCTATAATTATACTGCCATTGGATTGCACATAGGTAATAATACTAACGACTTACAATGTCATCGCATACATATTTAAAAGTGCCAAAGACAAAGTCACAATAACGGTGTACTATTTGTAATTGTAGACTAGCTGGCAATAATACAATTTGCCTGAAGATATCTGTCAATAGGAGATTAGTTCTGCACTTTAAACACCTCTAAAAAGAAACACAGTTGTGTTTCGGTTATTTTCTCTATGGTTGC